AACCTGTAATTTAGACAGTTAGCTTTTGTGGGTTTTTAAAACTGTAAATAGTGTAGCACAGTTTGGCAGTAATTGGTACAATTGCTTATAGACCACACAGCATGTCTACTTCAGCTACTCACAGAATGTGGATATCTGGTGGTAATTTACACAGCTTAAAGGGAGCTATTTAAATACTGCGCCTTGGCTTAGTTTTACTGCTAGTGGTAAACATTCTAGACAGAGATGGTGGACAGCATATGAGCTGTAATTCATAGTGCTTTGGACAGAAAAAAGTTAATAAAATACAAGCAAAACAGAAAAGTAGATTGAGAAGCAATGTTGCAGATAAAACCATCAGTCAGGTTTAGCTTGGGCCATGAACTAGAAAATCCATTGGTTCATGCCCCTGTAGAGAAAGTTTGATGCAATGAAGACAGATGAATATGTGGGGAGGGAGCATTTTTCTTTTCTCTCTCATAGAATCAGAAAGTCAGAAGGGACCCCATGGGTCATCTAGTCCAGCCCCCTGTAATGCAGGAATCTCAACATGCAGTCCCCCATCCAATTTGAAACCATACTGGACCCTGCTTAGCTTTACAAATGTGCTAGCAGTTTTTTATTGCAGATTGATTTCTGTTCTGGGCGATGAAATCCTATTTGCTCCTGGTCATCACCACCACAGGGGTTGGTACAGTCCATAAAGGTGCTTTGATTTGGACATGATCCAAACTAGCCCTGATTAATACACTTTCTGTCTCTGTTTCCTTGGAACATGCAAAGCAGCCCTGTGGGTGCTAGTCATCTAGGGCAAATGGGCTCTGCCCCACCAACCTCACAGCCTGCCTGCCTTTTTTCTTACAATGGCTTGTGGCACTGACCGTCAGCTTCCTTCTTTGTAGAACACAGCAGGGAGGAGGATGGGAACAAATGTAGAGCCAGTTGGCACCGCCTGTCATTGTCTCGGGCTCTGCCTACAGTTGGCCTCCCTGCCTTCCACCCTGTCTCAGTTTGCACCATTGGTGGTGCCTTAGCAGGTCTGCTGCAATCTCTGCTCACAGCTATTTGCTTTCTGGAGTTCCCTGCTTTTGAATGGCCTGATCAGGCGTCTGTGGAAGTTTTACTATTGCTTAGGCTTTCAAAGCATGGGAGGAGAAAGGTGATTCCCCTTAAAGCTGAGGCAGTCAAGTCTCCTTCTCTACGAGGGTTGTGGAAAGGCAAATTTCTTCCCACTCTGATATCTCCAGAATTTTGCAGGCGCAATGATGTGCTACAGGCTATGGCCCACCTGTAGCAAGCCTTTGCAGTCATTATGGACTTCATTTCGGAACCTGGTACAGATCCCATTGTCCAAGTCAGTTTTCAAATCCCTTTTAGAGCCATTTCAAGTGCACCTACCCTGACTTTTACAGAGAAAACCCCATGACTGATTTTTTTTATTATGTTTGCACTGTATTCCATTTCTCCAGAAATGTTTGCATCATTTCCAATCAGTTCTCTCTGATCCACCAGTCTTTTATTTCATCTTCCTTGATTTCTTGTTCTTTGTTTTTCAGGAGAGGCAAAGAAAAACCCTGCTTCTGGAGCCATCTGGTTCTATGGTACATCTTGTTCAATCTCACAGCCATAGCACTGAGATCTGTTGCCAGATTCTGAGACATGCTCTCCACTGAGGATGGCCCCCAATTAGTGCATCTGTACAAAGATACACTAACTGGGGGCTTACCCTTCCCTCCCGAGATGATCCAAAATGTTGCCCTGGTTGCACTGGCAACAACCTCTGTCGCCCTTAGCTGCAGAACCGCGGAATTATGAAGCATTACGAAATCAGAGATTTCGCTAAAGACTGGTGGGGAGGCTTGGCTCAATCTATGCTACACCCTAATGTATTTTGGCAACCGTGGAGCTGAACAGGCAACAATAGTGCCTCCCAGTGTACCTAATACATGACAGGAACATGTTTCAGTGTGCATAATGCTGAATGACAAGCCCACAACTGCTTAAGCATATTTGAAAATTCTGCCTCCGAGTTCAAGAGGGATATGAAAAGCAGATTGGGTTGATCTATAACATTTGATCTTCCACCATTTATAAGTGGCAATACTATTTTGGAGAGGTACAGATTCTTCCTGTTCTGGAAGGTGTGCTTGTCACTTCTAAAAAAGGAAAGTGTCACATCAGAAGTGCAGACTAGGAGAGAAACAGATTGTTGCAGGTGAGGGTCTATTCAGAGTTCATAAAATAAATTTGTGTTCAGGTAGGAAATAGATAATAGTGTCTGGGTACTTATTCATGAACTTTATAGATGCCTGTGGGAAACCAGCAAGCAGGATTCAAACACAAGATCATGGCTAGTAGCCATCAATAGACTTCTCCTTCATTCTAACTCTCCAGTCTAATTCTCTTTTAAAGCCATCCAAATTGGTGGTTGTCTCTGCCTCCTGTGAGTGTTGCAAGTGAATGAGCTTATAAACGAATGAGGTGCTGTGACTGGACAGTGGAAGTCATGTTTAGGCCACGCTGCCCCAGAAGCCACTCCCTCTATCAATGGGTGGGCAGGGAACACTTGATGGTTCTTAGTGGGGGAAACTCTGGCACTCTGCATGTGTTTAAAGACACTCTTTCCTTCATACATGCTGTACAAACCCTGCTGTGGGAAGAGGGATGGGGTTCAGAAATTTCAGTCCACCACCTCAAATCAAGCTGAACCACCAAGCTGGGGGAGCTGGGCAGGAATGGCACAAGAGAAGAGCGAGCAAACAAATCTTCTGCAACAAAAGTTAAGAGGTACAAATGGTAATGTGTGAGATCTTCCTCTCCTTGAAGTGACAGGCACATCTTCCACATGTGGCACTTTTAATCTGTCTGATTCAGAATTTACAGAACTTTCCTACTGTGTCTTGCTATGCGCTTCTGGTGAAGTTGCTTGTGTTTTAGCTAAGGCCCTCCACCACCTATTTCCTTGCATTGCTCTCTCTGTTCTCACAATGAATGAGGACTAATATACACATCACTAGAGTAGCCACTGTTTCCCTGTGACTGGTTCCCATGTTGCTCTGATCATGCTCAAATGAAGAAATCCCACTGGGATGGGCAGGCAGAACAGGAAGCAACTGCATTGGTGCTATACCTCCTTGAGGGTTGATAGCACTGGTGTGGTTGCATTGCACATGACCCATCTGTTCCATGCGATTCCTTCATCCAGACAGCACTGGAACTGTGTTGGATTCAGCCGTGCCACTTTGTTGACATATTCAGTAGGTCTATGGGCCAATTCAGGCATTCAGCAGACTCCATTGGTCATGTTTCCCTTGTGGTTGTGATGGCTGGGTTTACATAGTTCAATTCTCCTGCTCACCACCTATAGAAAACTAACACACTAGAGAGAAGGTTTAGGCTAGCCTTTCCCCTGACATACTACCTTTCCATGTGCTGAGAACCATCTTTTGGTGGAGGAATGTTCCAATATTCACATAACTGAGGTGGGTTCCATAGTCTACGCCAACGTTACATGTGTTTATTCATAAATCCAATCTGTTCCTGTTCCATATTAATCTGTTGTTTTTTTAAAAAAAAACTGCACAAGAATTTGTATTTCAGTATTTTGATATGGATTTCAATATGCATTTCATCACAAAATATTTAAGTATGTATTTGTCTCAATGTATGCATTTTATTCTAAAATATGCATTATTAAATGCATTTTGGTATCACAAAAGTTCAGAACCTGAAGGGTAATTATGGCCCCAACCACACAGAAGTTGCTGCAGATCAGGTCAGAGCCACCAGAGAGTCAGAGCAGACAATGTTGAGATAGATTATTAGACTGACAGGGTTGTATCCAAGAAAGCACAGAAGCACAGCAGAACCTCCTTCCCTTCCTTCCTTCCTGGGCATCCCAAAATCTGCTCTGGAGGGTTGGGGAGGAACCCCAAACAGGTTTTGGGGAAGGGAAGGAGAACGAGGGGCAACTCCATTCCACTTTGTTAGATACAACTTATTGTCTGGTGGTGACATAAGACAGCTTTGAAAGTTTGTGTGCCAAACCTCTCATACTGCAAGCTGCAATGGACCAGTCCAGGAAAGATGCCGCCACTTGTATCTGCCACATCTGCCATAGTATCTTCTGAAATCTTATCTCCAGGATTGCACTGGTAGAGAATACTTTAGGATTTGGCCCTACTGTTTTGACAGTTGCCTGCTTATAGGCAATATGACACTGTTTTCCAAACCTGGGTTTTGAAGGTCCTAAGAATGCTGTCGCCAGGATGCTTTGGGTTCTGAATTACCATTGCCATCCTTCTCGTTTCCCCTACCTGCCCACCCACCTCCACCCCAATGGTACCTCACTGACCATTCCATTCCTAAGTGAGTGGCATGCAATGTGGAGGCATGCTTCTGACGCAGGCATGCTACTACAACATTAACAGGCTAAAAAGAAAAAAGGAAAGGAAAGGGGGTGGGGAAGAAAAGGATTTTTTTAAAAAAAGAAGAAGAGAGAAATTAAGCATTAGCTCATTAAGGATATATAAAGAAATGATTCGAAAACTCGCTTTTGGAGCAGCACTAACACAGAGACTGATTACAAACTAAATTGTGCTATATATCAGTATATATATAAAAAAACATTGTTTTGTAAGAATGGCACTGGTTCAAAAGAATTGGGACTTCTACCTTTGTTCCTTTTAAGTCCACAGTGAAAGTATAGAAATACAGGCTTGCCCGGTTGCCTGGCAACTCGTGACGCTTGTGGGTGGGCTGACACCCCCCTCCCTTCCCCATCTCCCCATGCACACATTCACATACGTTCTCTGCTTCCCTTTTTAACATCTTCCTAACAGGATGCAAATGGAGAGGAATCTGAAAAGCAGGTAGAATCGCAGCCAGAGGATAGTCTGAGTCAAGCCTGGTCTGGAGGGGGTGGGGGCATCCGAAAAATCCCACACTCTGTCTTGCATCTTGGTCACAAGTTTGGAAGTTCCCTCCTCTACACACTTGGGGGACAAAAAACCGGTCCTTTTTTAAGGATCCTCTTCTCCCGTTGAAACCATCAGGCGCATGGCAACAGGCAGGTGATCAGTTAAGCCTGCCAGCTGAGTAATGAAACTGAACTCTTCCACTTCCTGTGGAGGAACAGCAAAAGAAATGACTTTTAAAAAGAGCTCTATGGTGTGTGTGTGTGTGTGTGTGTGTGTGTGTGTGTGTGTGTGTCCCCACCACTTTTAAGGTTTCAGATGAAAATAAACATATCAGAAGAGCCTGGATCAGGCCAAAGACCCAAACAGTCCAGTGCTCTGTTCTCATAGTGACCTACAGAACTCTGCCCACCTGTGGGTCCCAGGAACTGCTCTTCAGAGGAATCCTGCCTCTAACAGTGGGATGAGAACATTGCCATCGTGGCAAGTACCTGCCGATAGCCTTGTATCCCATGAATTTATCTAATCCTCTTTTAAAGCCATCCATATGGGTGACCACTGTGACTTCTTGTGGGAGCTAATTCCACAGTTTAACTATGTGCTGTGTGGAAAAAGTCCTGTCTTTTGCCTGACCTGAATCTTCTGACATTCAGCTTCATTGGCTGATTCTGAGTTCTAGAACGATGATGCCCTGCCTACAGTATGGCTGAAGCAAAACAAAACAAAACTGGGCATCCTCCCAGGGGCATCTTAATACATAATGGGATCCCATCAGAGGGTGACTGTTCATAGTGAGCCTTGGGGAATGCTGCTTGAATCAAGAAGCATTGTCCATCACAGCTGATCCCAAATTCTGACATGCAGAACTGTTATCAGTATGCTTGTTCATATGTGACTGGGCTTACCACTTTCCACTCTAGATAGAGTCCTTCTTCAGTGTAAAGCATGTAGTCAATTCGCCTCCCGTTCCCCTTCAAAGCTCTCTTCCTCCCCTTCTGACTTGAAGGATGGGTCTTGCTGGTAGGAAAGACAATATAGGCTTTTCGCCCTTCTTCACTTTCCATTGTCCTGGTTAAAAACACACACACACAACGGTTTATTATGTGTCAGATCTACACCTGTGTCATCCACTGTTCTAACAAATATCAAATGGGTTCCCAGTTTTTGGTGGCGGATGCTTTACTGGAGATAGCAAAGGTATGAGATCTTCTATTTCTGAAGTTTCATTTTATATCGGTAATTTCCAGCTAATTACACAAAACTATGGAATAGCATATAAATACACATTACAATTCTCACACACCCAATATCAACAAATTATCTCATGTGCATTGTTGTTGTTGTTATTGTTATTCTAAAGTGCCTAATGTTTCCTGAGAACTGTACAATTCTTTAAAAATAAAATATAAGTTGGTCCATCTAGCTAGATTGTCTACACTGACTGACAGTCAGAAACCTGGTTTCAGGCATAAATCTTTCTCCATCCTACCATAGCTGTCAACCGTCCCTTATTTGGCGGGAAACTCCCTTATCCCAGCGCTGTTTCCTGCTGCTGTCCCGGATTGATGATGTCCCTTAAATTTCCTGGGTTTCAAAGGAAGCAGCTCCTCTCCCTCCCTCCCTGCCGGCCAGGGAGGAGGGAGGCTCCAACTGTGTTGCTTGGTTGCGTTGCTCACCCAATAAGGAGTCTAAGATCAACTGGGGGGGTGGAGTTTGCATGCCTTGTGCCGATCAAATCGGCCGCGTTGCCTGGGGACTTGCCTTTGCTCAGCGCTTCCCAGCGGAGAGGTGACGGTGTTTTTCCTTGCTGCATCCCCTTTGCCAGTTTGCTGTGCTGTGGGAACGACCGCTTGAGGCTTTGTTTGGCTGCTGGTTGACTAAAATCCCTTATTTTGGCTGCTGATCCCTTATTTTCGAGGCTGCTGGTCCCTTATTTTCAAATCTGTAAGTTGACAGCTATGCATCCTACCTAGAGACAATAGGGACTGAACCTTGGACGTTCTGCATGCAAAGCAGATGTTCTGCCACTGAACTCTGATTCTTGTATCCTTGGACAATAAAGCATGCCTCTCTTTGGCTGTCCAGTTCTGGAGGAAGGGGCAGTCAAAGCAGTGTACTTCCCTAGATGTTTACTCAGAAGTATCTCACTGAACGCAATGTGGTTTACTTCCAAGTAAGTGTGCATAGGATTATTGACAATTTGTGGTGAATCATGGGCTAATTCTTCAAATAGTAGTCTTGGACTGAAGATCCACAGTTGGCCTTTGTGAATAAGGCACACACCAAAATTACCAGACTATACCATCAATTATTTTGGAAATGAGAGAGATGAAATCTTGATTTTTCCACAGAAGAAAAGGAGACACCAGTTGTCAAGGCCTGTGGGTCCTTTTCAAGAAACTTAAAAGCATATGAAAATAATTGTTACAATTGATTCTTCTTACCCAGCCTTTATCAACCTTTAAAATGTAAAATCCAGTTTTAACATGTTCTGAAGTATTATCTCTGGAGATCTAAGTCAATTGACACTAGCTTGCTTCTGATTAATTTCAGAATCAAGGAATCAATACTTATCAATGATCCCTGGATGCATTTTTTTTTTAACTGCAAAGAGGGAGGTTCATTTCTATGAAGATGGTGGTTCAAATATGGACAGTTATATAATTAATTGTCTTCAAAAGTGCCACAGACAAGACATTCTTCAGACTGCTTAGGGGGAAAAACTCATGGAGTTTTCATTTTTTTAATGAAAGAGCTGTGGCTCTGACAGAATTGACCTCTGTTGAAACACCAGCAGATTATCTCCGCTTCATAATAGCAAATTAAGCAAGAAGCTGAGAAAAGTGGCTGGTGTGTGTGCAACACATTTCGCCATATTTCCTGCAATATATTAATTTGAAAAATGGCTGTGTTCTGTGGTGCGGTTACTTTATATAAATGGTGGATTTAAGAATGCCTGGAATCCCTTTGCGCATTGTAATTTCTGCCTCCCACCACTCTTCTGCATCCAGCCAGTCCATGAAAGACTTTTACCTTTGCACAATGAGTTACATGTGCTACCACAGTCCTATGCGTTTAACTGAGAAGGGAGCACCAGACTGAAACTTTCTAGGGGGCCACCCAGGCTGGCTGCTTCAGTTCCCATGTTGTTTTTGAAACTGCAAATTAGGTTAAGTTCTCCTTTAAATGCAAACTGAATTGAATTTCTCCCCCATCCATACTCAAATTACCACCCCCAGCTGCTTTTCTCCCGAGGACATAAAATATATGTGTCTACATATTTCCACTGAGATTTAAAATCTACCGATCTATTGACTGCCCTGCCTGTGTTCCCGCCTTTTCTCCTCTAGAGGAAACAATCTTTGCTGGTCAGTCAACAGAAAGAAGCTTGGGTTCTGGATGCCACAGAGCTGAAAATTATGCCTATGGCACCCTGGAAGTGACACTTCCCACCTTTCAGTTTCTTGACTGCACCATGATGGCAGGTGAAGAGTTTCCCTTTCCTCATGAAGTTTGAAATCCAACCACACAATAAGAGGCACAGGGGTTTGCGGGTGCAGACAATTAGCTGACTGGCAGCACTCCACACTCCACTGTTGGGGGAAAGCTGCATCTTTACATGCCCCACATAATGTATGACTTTAGGTGTTGGGCAGGTGAGCATGGTTTTGAGGAAATGGCCTCATGGGCCAAATTAGGACCTCTGCCAGCCAGCTCCCATTAAGCCCATGGACCAGAGATTCCCCACTACTGGTTTATACTAACTGGCAGTGGCTCTCCAGGGTTTGGGGCGGGAGATCCCAGGGCAGAATCTGAGACCAACTGCACACAAAGCAGATGATCTACCACTAAGCTAAGGCTGCTCTTCCCCACTGTATCTACTTTAGTAGGTATTAAAAGTAGCTGTAAAGTCCTCCAAAACCACCCTGTCACAAAAGTAACTCCATCTCTCCGATACCACTGAAAAATTATGTAGTTCAGAAAAGTGTGCCACTTCAATCTCAGTGACATCCACCATGATAATCAATATAAGGAACTGAGAAATTGCCCTTTTGGTGCCAAAGATTGTCTGGGCTGACAGACTATAACCTGACTGTATACAACATTGTGACAGCTTTAGACCTGCAATAAAACTTGACTGATAGGCATGTGACCGCCCCTTTGAATAGTGGATTGGTATTAAGTGAAAGAGACCAACAACCAATCCACCCTAGGTCTGTGAATATCTTAATTAAATGGCCGTTTCTTCACTAGTTGCCCTAACAGTATCCTATTAATCAAGTCAGAGGTGGAGGCACATTGTGACTAAGTAGCAACGGTGTTTATTGATCTTTTAAATAAGGAAATAGGTCCATGTAGTCACTCTTATTGATGTATTTAATAGTGCGGGCTTCTTAACTTTATTAATAGATTTCCAGAGGTTGGTGCTGGAAGTCTAATGGAAGCCTAATTTACTGGGCTCTTTCCAGAACTATTGATGCCAGTATAAATAGGGTGATAAATTAGTTTCTATAGCTTGGGCAAATTTTATTATTGAAGGATTTCCACAAGAGTCCATTCTAAACCTCATCTAGTTTGTCAATGACAATAGCAATTTCAGATGGGTATCATTTGCAAGCTCTTCAGCAAGTTTTCTTTTTAAAGATGACATTACAATTTGAGAGCTGCTTGACAACACATCAATTATGCATGGGGATTAAATGCCAATCAAACAAGGTGTCTTGAAAGACCAAGAGGAACTGGACTTAAAATAAATGAGAAGTTTGCTTTCAGAAGTGCTACAGACCACAAACTTTGTGAGTGCTTACTTTTTTGCCTTAGGGCCTGTGGAATTTTACTGCATTTGATTTTGGGGAGGGAAAAAAAGGTCAGTTTGCACTGTGGCAAATCCTACATGCCAGAGTAGAACGGAAATGAGGTCTAGGCCCTCCAGTCTGGACCAACACAGGAACTGTCACCCTGCCCTGGATTCAGCCCCAAATCAATCTGGAAGTGAGGGTAAAGGTAAAGGGATCCCTGACCATTAGGTCCAGTCGTGGACGACTTTGGGGTTGTGGCGCTCATCTCGCTTTTTTGGCCGAGGAAGCCATTGTACAGCTTCCGGGTCACGTGGCCAGCATGACTAAGCCGCTTCTGGCAAACCAGAGCAGCGCACGGAAACACCGTTTACCTTCCCACCGGAGTGGTACCTATTTATCTACTTGCACTTTGACGTGCTTTCAAACAGCTAGGTTGGCAGGAGCAGGGACCAAGCAATGGGAGCTCACCCCATTGCGGGGATTCGAACTGCCGACCTTCTGATCGGCAAGCCTTTTATTTCAGGGGGTACTCAAGGGTACGCAGTACCAGCACCTCTTTTTTTGTTGTTAAAAAGTGTGGCACTTACTGTAACAACTTCAGGGTGAGTACTGGAACCTACTGAGTGAGAGCGAAGAAAGAGACACTCTCTCCTCCCCACCACCACCACTGAAAACACTATTCAAAATATAAAAGCAATACTCATTGGTGGTGCAGATTTAAAAAGCAGCCACTATATTGTATAAGCAGACAAACAAGGCGGTACTTACTTCTGCAGGTTATCTGCTGTGCACACTTCTTCATCGTATAGTCCTTCTGGATCTAACAAGGTTCCTAGGAAGAGAAAGGAATTCATGGGTCTCCTATCAACCTTGGCTTTCTCCCTAATGGATGTAGACCAGAGTCTGTATGCAGTACTGAGTTGCGTTGCTGCTTCCATATATGATGCCAGTTTTGAGGCAGGTAAAGGTGCAGCTGGGCCAGGAGGGGGTTTGTACATGCCAACCAGCTGGTTGGCAGCACCTGCCAAGCCCTGTGCACAGCTCTTTCCCACCATCTTTAGTCCCCTCTCCATCTGAAATGTCATGCCGCTCTTTAAACTTAAATACAATGATGGTTGGGGGAAGATAAATAAAACCATTATTCGTGTTACACCGTGAGTGTGTGTTTTGATGTTTTCTTAATCTTCTTAAGCATATTTTATACAACAGCAGAGCAGCTTGTCAAATTCTGAAGGCTGAAAGAAAAACCGCTGAGAACTATGTGAATGGGTTGTGAATTGAACTGAAATGGAAATTCTTTCCTTTCCAGAGGAAATGAACTAATTCCTTTTTGGAGGGGGTGAACTGGAACAGATCAATGAGCTCCCCCCCCCCAAGCACTGCTCCCAACCCAAGCCCAAGGCCATGGCAGCATCCCTTACCAATTGCCCATGATTTGTCCTCCCCTGGACCAAGCCGGCATGGGTCCTTGTAGCGCGTAAACAAGGAATGCTGCTGCTCCAGCTTGTCATCTGTAGCGAGAACACAAAGGACCAAGAATAAGGACATCAGTGGCATGCGAAGAAAGGCAAGGGCAGGGGGAGGCAGGGTTGAGCAACCTGCAGCCCTCCTGATGTTGCTGGATTGCAACTCCCAGCAGCCCCAGCCAGCTCAGGCAATGGTCAGGGAATAAAATCTAGAGGCCACAGCTTGAGAAACCAGAGGCCACACAGTGGGCATTCCTCACTCATCCTGGATTTATATTGCATTGCATTTACTTGGGGCTGCCCTATGTCTGGATTTTCCTGTACATCACTGGGATTTCAAAGGCGGAAGGGCAATTTCCGAACTGCAGCATTTTGTCCTGGATCTTAGGCAAGTCAATCTAAAATTTGTGGGGGGTTTTTTTGGGTGTTTTTGTTTAAAAGAAAGTTCAACAACTTTCAGGTCTTCCTAAAAAACCCTCACCAATTTTGGGAATTTCCTTAAAAAAAAGCTCAACAATTTCAGTGGTTTCCTTTAAAAAAGCTTGGGTGTCCTGGTTTTTACTTTTTGAAATATGGCAACCCTAACTTACTTCCATGCCACTTAATACCAAGGCAGTCTCTGAGCAATTCATTAAAACATGGAAGAGTTGTATCCAACTAAGTTTTATGCAGAGTAAGCCCATTGAAATTATTGGACCTGCACTAGGTCTACTCCAAGTATGACTAGCAATGGATAAAGCCCACACTATACACTTTTCTTTTCTTTTCCTCTTCCTTACTCCCATGTAGATCTCTCTAGACCTGTCAATTATTCCTTGGGGTTGGACTGATTTTTAAATTGGCTAAGGCAGGCAGCTAATTCAAGCAGTCAAATATGGTGAATTTTCTATTTTATTGCTGCAGTTTGCTGGGGAGGAGGAATTATTTGGAAATGCCATTTGAAGGCATTAAAATTGTCTTGTTAAGTTTTGGGCAATTGTTTATTATTTATTCATTATTAAATTTCTATACCGTCTTTCATCTAAAGATCACAGGGCAGTTTACAATATAAAAACACAAAAATACATACAATGAAAACAATACACACACACACATACATACAAACACACACACAAGTCCCTGATTAAAAGGCCATAGATTGGTTAACTAGCTAGAGGCCTGGGGGAAAAGGAATGTTTTTGCCTGGCACCTAAAGATATGTGGTGAAGGCGCCAGAGCATTCCACAAACGATGAGCTACTGCAAAAAAGGCCCGTTCTCATGTTGCCGCCCTCTGGACCTCCCGCGGAGGAGGCACATGAAGAAGGGCCTCAGATGATGATCGTAGGGTCCAGGTCAGTTCATATGGGGAGAGGTTTATGCAGTTAAACTTTTTCATTCCATTCTGCTTTAGAGCTAACCCTGTGCAAACACCTGAAACCTATGATGCCTCTTAATCATTTTTCTGCATCTCTCCTGAAAGAAAAGAAAAAAGAATTTCTTTTTGCTTCTCCTGGGGGAATCCCACAAGTGGCTGCCACTGGCACTAATGATGTCATTTGTCACTGTCTATTGTCAAGGCAACACAATCCATAAATGCGAGGCTTTTAAAAAGCGGTAAGAAGAAAGAAGCCAAACTGCTAAAAATAAAACAGTGCTTTGAAGGTTATGCCGATCAGATCATCTGGCCAGGGTTCACACCTCTTAATCTTACTTTATAGAGCAGGGACCTGATTTGCATCCAGGTATCTAAGGGTGGGGCCAAAAAAAAAAAAGGTTGCCAAAAAGTAGCTCTTTCAGTCTCATGCCAATTTATTGCCCATTTCATAGGTCCATCACAGGCACTGACTCCTAAGGGCTGAGGCAGTCTTGATCCGCTGGAGCCTTTGTTGTCCATCAGTGCTGCTAGCAATGATACCAGAGGCTATAAATGGCTTCTAGGGATGGGGGGAGATTTTTTGTTCAGTTCACGTTTAAAGGAAATTTGCACTTTCCAAAACAAAATGTGAGCTGAAACACAGCACTCCTTCAAAATTTTCACATCATCCAATTTTGTTCTCATCTTGCTTTGGAAACGGTAAATGTGGCAAGTTGGCCATGAAATGAGAACCGAATCAAATTTCTCTCAATCTCTATTACCAGCTAAAAGGACTTGAATCTTTGTAAACCTCAATAAGCTAAAAATTTCTCCAAAAAGAGATTTCTAGGAAAACTTTTGGAGAATTTCACCCTTTGGATATTCAGTGAAATCCACCCACTCCCCATTTTGCTGCCTGCAAAGAGCATGGAGAATTTTAAAAGGCCTGCCCAGTCCTTGCAGTAGCCTAGCTTCTGTTTATTGATTTGACCATTTCTGCCTGTCTTTCTATGATAAAGTCAAGTGCAAGGTGGTTTACAAAGAAAAGACACAGCACAACTAAATTAAAAGCAAACCGAAGAACAGAATGAGCAGCAATAAATCAGCATCATTTCATATTATCTCTGTTTATTTTAATAAATTAACCCCATTTATTAAAAAGCATTGCTTTCTCCAGTGATTCATTATAGCTCTACTTCACCCTTGTTTATCCCAGTACGTTGTCATGAACTTCATACTAGGAAGGAGAGCAGGGAATAATTAGGAAAAAAGGATGGTGATGAAGAACAGGAGGGTAAAGACCAGAGGGGTTCCAGGCACAACACAGTGTTGGCCAATAAAGGCTGGTCCATTAGGATGAATGGGGCACTGTCCCACCAACCTTGGTCTATCACCAGCCAGCCTACACCTGCCTGCCTTCTTATAGTCCAGGGGGTGACACTAGCTGCCAGCTTTGCTCTCCTTAATCTCAGTGTTTTCTTTAGCAGGGAGGAGGATAGGGGTAAAAGTAAAATTAGCTCTGCCTGCCACTGGCTCTGGATTTATCTACTCTTTACTGGACTTCTCTGCCCTTTGCCCCACCAGTCCCAATGGGCACCAACCACCACGGGCAAAGGTGGATTTGGGGCAGTGCAACCAGCACTGCTGTGCTGTGCACCGAGCCTAGGGCTTAGCAGCTTAAAATACATCAAGCAAATAAGTGGCTGTCTCACCTGATGAGCAATTGTCAAAGTTGAGATCTCCACAGAGTACATCAAATGCCACCAGCTCCTCTGGATTGGCTGTGCTGGAGGAGGAGGTAGATTTTCTGAAATCAGCCAGCCAATCCTGAAGCAGATCCAGTTGTTCACATCGAACAGTACTGTCCCCTGCAGGAAGCACAAAACAAGGGTTCTGGAGCAATTCCAAATTTCATTGTATTTACGGTGGTGGTATCTTAAGCTACTAGACCATAAGATGCAATTCTAAAATAAACATGTTGGAGTTCCTTCAAATGTAAACAGCCACAGATTTCCCATCCCTGGAGTAGAATGTGAATTTAAAAGCTTTTTCAATAAAAGCCAATGGGCAAACTTACTTTGTTTCTTTATTTTAAATACTTCTTACCCATTCTAGATGAGCCAGATGGACCAATGGTTTAACTCAGTATAAGACAGCTTCCTACATCTGATCATGGGATTAAGGTGGCAACTTTGTTGGGTAAGGACCAAAGAGCTCAGTGGTTGAGCATCTGCACATGGTCCCAGGTTCAGTCCCTGGCACCTCCAAGTAGGGATGAGAGAGACCCCTACCTGAAAATCCTGGAGAGCTGCTGCCAGTCAGTGTAGACAATACCGAGATATTTGGACCAATGATAGATAGATAGATGATAGATAGATGATAGATAGAATCATAGAATCATAGAATCATAGAGTTGGAAGAGACCACAAGGGCCATCGAGTCCAACCCCCTGCCAAGCAGGAAACACCATCAGAGCACTCCTGACATATGGTTGTCAAGCCTCTGCTTAAAGACCTCCAAAGAAGGAGACTCCACCACACTCCTTGGCAGCAAATTCCACTGTCGAACAGCTCTTACTGTCAGGAAGTTCTTCCTAATGTTTAGGTGGAATCTTCTTTCTTGTAGTTTGGATCCATTGCTCCGTGTCCGCTTCTCTGGAGCAGCAGAAAACAACCTTTCTCCCTCCTCTATGTGACATCCTTTTATATATTTGAACATGGCTATCATATCACCCCTGCTAGATATAGCAGCTTCCCAACTGCTCAATCAACTGCTCCTGGCAAGGGAGCATGTTTGTGCAAAAGAATGAAAGTACTCAGCACAACACAAGGAACACAGGAACCTGCTTATACTGGACCAGACCATTGGTCCATCTGGCTCAGTTTTACCTATGCTGACTGGTAAGATTTCTCCAGTTCTATCAGGAGATGTTGGGGATTAAACCTGGGACCTTCTGTATGCAAATCAGGTGCACTACCAAAAGGGTTGGGGAGAAAGTCCTTTTGGTTATGCAGCTATAAATGGAAACTGAGCCCCTACACTTGGCGGTGGCAGCGTTCCATGCAGTGGAAAGGGGCAGGGGGAGACTTCACATATGCCTTTGTTTATCTAGTGAGGTCCAACTGATACTCTCCAAGGGCTCTGCCAGTTTTGCATCATCAGGTAGCTGCCCCTCACTTTTGCAATTTGATTTATGGCACGGTGTGTCTGTGTGATGCAGAAGCCGTAAACGTCCTTGCTTGACTTCCTTACCTCATCCATCATTCACACCATTCTGTTCAAAGATAATTTGGAGCTGGCTTGGAAATTTCCCTTTTGAATCACCAATAACGGCACGCATGTATGCGACATGCTATATATGTTTTCATTAGCTCAGGCTGAACCGCTTCCCATCTAGTGTTTTCAGTTATTCAATATCTGTCGGCTGGTTTTAGGCAAGGAAAAAAATATAGATCTACAAAATTTGTGACTGAAGGCACAAGGGGGTATTGAATGAGTAACTTTTAGCTACCCAGTGTGTCATGTGCCTTATTCGCTGAGGCACCAGGACAACTCTCCACAAGATGAAGCCACTGACTACTATTTCTCCCAACTGCAGACAGTCAGAAGGAGGTACTGCTGCTCAATGATTTAGAGCAGGCTTCCTTAACCTTGGCCCTCCAGATGTTTTTGGCCTACCATGATCCCTAGCTAGCAGGACCAGTGGTCAGGGATGATGGGAATTGTAGTCTCAAAACATCTGGAGGGCCGAGGTTGAGGAAGCCTGATTTAGAGATTGTGAAGTGACACAAGGGGCAATGGGATTTGCCCTGACTTAAAAAATCCAACTCCAGCCTGGATCTACAACTTGAGAAACAACATGTCTCTTGAGTAAAGGCCAAATTGCTAGCAGACAAAGTTGGTTACTCAAACGTTAAGGCCTCCAAGTTAAATGGGACTTGCTTCCCATGGATTGGGATTGGGTTTGGATTGGGTTCTGAGAGCCCTGACACTCTCAGTGGAAAATGGTCTTTTTAATTTTTGAGTTGCTGTGTTGCTGTCTGGTTTTATTTTATTTTTTAATCTGAACACCCAGTGTTGGTGCTAAACATAATAGGAGTGATTTTTAAAATTCATATCTACAACTCAAGCAGCAAATCAAAAGAAGTCACTGTGAAGAATGCAACAGATCACTTTTGAATCAAGTATAATTGAACGAGGCAGAGGGTTGGGGTGGATTTCCCAGTTCTGATTTGTAAGTTTCCACCAGACTGGCTGTAACCAACATCCTGCTCTGCTTTTCTTTCTGATTTCCAGTGGATAATTCCTATAGATTATTTTGTGATATTTTTGTTTATTTATTCAAACGAAAGAAACATCTATTCTATTTACTTGATCTTTTTTATTGAAATGAAATGTTTTCATGCCGCTCGGTTAGTTAATTGCATATCATGTTCTTATTGTTGCATGATTTCATTTGACAGGGTTTCTTGCCCTGCAAGGCTATATAAAAATACTGGGTGGTGTTAAGCTAAGTTTTACTCAGAGCAGACCAACTAAAACAAATGGGCCTAAATTAATGTTCATTAACGCCAATCAGTCTACTCTGAGTAAAACTTACTTGACCCATATCCACTTAAATTAAATAAAATATTAAATGCATATGAGTGGAGTTTGTTTTTTTGCTCTTTGCTGGGAGCTTTTTGTCACCCTTTTATTTAAAGCATGTGGTTTGTGTGTAAGAGATTTATATTTATGGTTTGCACTTAAAGGGGAATCAGCCGGATTCGTACTTTCTAGAACAATCCGCAAACACAGCCATCCTTCAAAATTCACATTTCTCTGAATTTTGCAACACAGTTCTCCAACCGAGTGCACAAAAAATGCATATGCTGGTGAGAAATGAGCATAAAAATACATGCTAATGACAATAACATACAAAATTGCATTTTATTAGGGGAAATTACTTTGCAGAAATGTGTATATCAAGGGAAATTTGTTCTAAGAAGAGTTTGGATTTGATATCCCGCTTTATTACCACCCGAAGGAGTCTCAAAGCGGCTAACATTCTCCTTTCCCTTCCTCCCCCACAACACTCTATGAGGTGAGTGGGGCTGAGAGACTTCAGAGAAGTGTGACTAGCCCAAGGTCACCCAGCAGCTGCATGTGGAGGAGAGGAGACGCGAACCCGATTCCCCAGATTACGAGTTCACCGCTCTTAACCACTACACCACACTGGCTTTCTAAGGATCAAAGGGTTTTGGGGGGGGCAAATTGATGTGGAAATGTGGACAATGGAATTTCATTTTGGGAAAATGAGAAACTGAAATGGATAGATTTTCTCATGGTTGGTGGCGGGTCTTCCCCCTGCTCATGATTTTCAATTCAAAATCACCTCCAACACATTTTCTTAGTTAAGAGCAGCTCCAAGGAGGTTATCCGTAAGGGCCCGGTGTCTTTGGGCTGACAAAGGGTCTCCACTTCTGCTTTAAGTGCTGACTCCACTGTCCCCAACACTATTCTTCCACTACTTCTTTTTCAGGAAGTACAGCTCCTGCTTCCCAAATTGCAGCATCTGCCAACTTGAGCTGTTGCACGTACACCTCTGAATTCTAAACTGGAGCCAGGCTTACTTTCAGCAACCATCAATTTGTATGTTTCAAAACATTTCCAAATAGGCTTTCTTTGACAAAAACACATCCCAGACCAGCACCTTTTATGTGGCTCAAGCTTTCCTTTTCTGCCATCATGTCCCATCCCTCATTTTTTAGAAACACAATAAATGTTTTGGATGAGATAACCGGCACAGCCAAGGAAACTCCACTGTTATGAACTCAGGTCATTCTGTTTTGTTCCATAAATGAACAGAGATTTATTGAAGGACATCTAAGCTTTTAAAACCTAAGCTCTCTTGTATTTGAATACAGTGTGATAGATAAGCCGGGAAATATGAAGCAAACATATGAAAGACAAACAGGAAAGGAACTTGGAAGCCTTAAAGGGAGACATTCTGATGGGGCAAAGGCGGATTATTCCAGTCCTCTCTCGCCATGCTCCTTCTTTGCCTTAAATCTCAGTGAGATGGTCCAAGAGTAAATCTACTAGAATTTGGCTAAAGTGCAGGGGGTGGGGAATAGTATGAAGGAACTGTACAAGCACTGCATACATAGCCATAATATCACATCTGGGTATTATTATTACTACATTTGTTTCAATACTTTAATACTTTAAGGTTGAATACCACTGTTTCAGTGTTTCTCCAATGGCTACTAGCCATGATGGCAAGGTTCTCCCTTCATCAATGGTGGCATTATGCCTCTGAAAGTCAATTGCTGGGAATCATGAGTGCTCAGAGTACTGTTGCATTCAGGTCCTGCTTTTGGGCTTCCCATTAGGGCACTTGATTGGCCACAGTGAAAGCAGGGTGCTGGATCGAATGGGGCATTGGCCCACTATAGGGAAGGTACCAAATTGATACATCCCTGCTACAGAAGAAGTGTATCGAGAAGATAACAAAACCAGAGTCTGTTTCATGTCATGAATAAGATCAGCAAAACCAAGAATAGAATTGGATCAAAAATATATTGGGAGGCCTATTACTCATTGGGCGCTTTGGTCTAAACCACTGAGCCAATTGGGCTTGCCGACAAGAAGGTCAACCTAGCCATTCAAAAGCATACCAGTGCAAATAGATAAATAGGTACTGCTGTGGCGGGAATGTAAATGGTGTTTCTGTGTGCTCTGGTTTCCGTCACGGTGCCCTGTTGTGCCAGAAGTGGTTTAGTCATGCTGGCCATATTACCCGGAAAGCTGTCTGTGGACAAACACCAGCTCCCTCGGCCTGAAAGTAAGTTGAGTGCCGCAACCCCATAGTCACCTTTGACTGAACTTAGCGTATTTTTCGCCCCATAGGGCACACCGCCCCATAGGACGCACCTAGTTTTTTTTTGGGGGGGGAAATAAACAAAAAAATTTATTTCCCCCCCCAGGCGCGGGGCTGGCGCGGGGGAAGCCCGAGCTTCCCCCAATCCCAGCCCCAAGAACAGCCTGCTATCTGCAAGCCTAGGGACGCCAGCGGTAAGTCGGGCCGGTCTCCCCAGGCTTCGGAATGCAGGCAGCTCTGCGCAGCCATCGGGAGGCAGGCGCGACTTCGCGCCCCGCTCCGGATGGCTGCGCAGAGCGGCGCTCGCCCCGGGACTGCAGGCCGCTCTGCGCAGCCATCGGGAGGCGGGCGCGACTTCGCGCCCCGCTCCCGATGGCTGCGCAGAGCGGCGCTCGCCCCGGGACAGCAGGCAGCTCTGCGCAGCCATCGGGAGGCGGGCGTGAAGTGGCGCCGGTCTCCCGAGGGTTGCGCAGAGCTTCCTGAAGCCTGGAGAGCGAGAGGGGTCGGTGCGCACCGACCCTCTCGCTCTCCAGGCTTCAGCGAAAGCCTGCATTCGCCCCATAGGATGCACACACATTTCCCCTTCATTTTTGGAGGGGAAAAAGTGCGTCCTATAGGGCGAAAAATACGGTAACTGTCCAGGGGTCCTTTATCTCCTTTTTATCTCCTCTTTTGACCCAAGAACCACATTCAACTTTTGTACCCCAAAGTTGGTATTGTTAACATGTCCATTCCAACCCATCACTCTTTTGTATCAGCTCTTTACAAAACAAAGTCTAGAATGTTCCATCTCCAGTGTTGTATATACAGGAGAAGTATTTTTACAAAGAGTCCTAGACTTCTGCTAACAGTTTATGCTGAGAGAGGAAAGGTTGACAAGTTGAATTTATTTGATTGCTATAAAGAGACTTGGTCTATAAGGTGTTTCCACCAATGCCACCTTTCCCTGCAGAAGTTAGGTGGCAGTGGGGAGGGCAAAGCTTTTAAATTTATAGGCTAACCCCAAAGCTTTACCAGATGACATAATGTTTATCTTGAGATAAGATTTAAATAATATTTGGATTATCAACCATTACGCAGATTGGCTGAGGATGGCAAGTTTATTTGCTGAAATGAGGCTGGTAGAGAAACAAGGTTGCCCTGGTCTCTTTCTGGATACTCTCAGGTGGCCATGAAAAGACTCAACATGGTGGTTTTCCCCTTCCACATCGTAAACTGATTTTTTTTTACAGTTGTATTGTGCTGAAGATTTACGCGAAACAAGGTAATGGGAAAGATCCAGTAAACAGTGGAAGGAGAGGCCAAGGAGAGTTCAGTAAACCATGTTTCACATGGAGTGAATCACACCACAATCCAAGCTCCTTTGTGCTGGCTTGGGAGTAGTTGGATTGGATGGAGGTGTCCCTTCACTGAGCTCCCCCAGCTTCTGCCGGCCTCTGTCCAATGTCACTCCGCCAGCATGGAGCTCACTATTCTGCCTGCCAAATGTATGGGACATCAGGATCTGGGGACAGAGGGGCAGAGCAGGCCTGGGATCTGCTGGGAACTCAAGGCAGACCGACTACTACCCCATGACAGCAACTAGACCCACTATGGGCCCAACTCCTGTGCCAGCTCTAGGTTGGTACAGAGATTTGCAAGCTTCCCAGCTTCTGCTCCAACCAGAGCATAGGAGCCAATTTCTAGGGACAGAGGTCCTTCTGGTCCCCCCAATAAATTATTTGAGGGGGCTGGGCCTCCCCAAAGTTGATGGGCATTGCCCTTCAAATGGTATGTGTGCACCATGTCTTGTGATCAATTATGTGTGGTGGGGCTTAACTCCCCCCATATTTTATTCATATTGGTACCCTTGAGCTACCAGCATGAGCAACAGATGTGGTAAAGGTAAAGGTAAAGGTACCTCTGACCATTAGGTCCAGTCGTGACCGACTCTGGGGCTGCGGCGCTCATCTCGCTTTATTGGCCAAGGGAGCCGGCGTACAGCTTCCAGGTCATGTGACTAGCATGACTAAGCCGCTTCTGGCAAACCAGAGCAGCGCACGGAAACGCCGTTTACCTTCCAGCAGGAGCGGTACCTATTTATCTACTTATACTTTGACGTGCTTTCGAACTGCTAGGTTGGCAGGAGCAGGGACAGAGCAACGGGAGCTCACCCCATTGCGGGGATTCGAACCGCTGACCTTCTGATCAGCAAGTCCTAGGCTCTGTGGTTTGACCCACAGCACCACCCGAGTCCCTGTCCCCAACAGATGTGGTAGCCTCTGTCTATTTCTAGTTTATGACACTTTTGCATCTACTCACTCGTATGTCTGTCCAATCCTTCATCTATCGATATTTTTCTAAGCCCTCGCAGAAATTTGTATTTAAATATGTATTTACAATCTATTTTCTTTTAAAATTCATTTCTAAATGTGTTTCCTCTCTAATTCCCACCCCGCTTGAAGCCAGCATTTCAGCACCCGGCCCTCTCTCGATGGATCTTAGGCTTCCAATAGACCTTGCAGACCTGATGTCTGTCTGCTTGCCCTGGCTCTGCAGAATACTTAGGTTAATGTACAACCCTTCCCTGCCTGCAACATTTTCAGCTGAGATGGTTAAAGTACTGACAAGAGACCATTGAGAAGAGACTAGCCAAACCCACTCTTTCTATCTCTATTCTACAATAAGTAGCAAAAGAAGCAAAACAAAGATTGGGAGAGCAATCCATACGGTACCTGCCAGAGCTTGCAAGTGAGTGCAGGAAATGTATCCCACAATTCTTTGGTCCTGAGGTGTACTTCCCACTTGCACCTGGAAGGAAAATAAGAGAGGAACAGAAGGGTTAATGGACCACCATCAGACCTTTCAGGATCAAAACCCATTAACTGCAGGGAAAACATGAGAACTATTTTATTTTTTTTTGTAGCAAAGGTAAGCATAACTGTTCTCAGAGTAGACCTATAATGAGAAGAGGCACTGGTTGTTCTTCTTGGGGTTTTATAGGTGTATTTTGCAACATGCCCTTGATGCAATAATAGTGCATTAGTGATAGCTTTATACGGGACCATCCACATATCATACTGCTTTATTACTTGTATTGTGATGCTCCCCCAATGTTACCACACAAATACCATCTGGAGGGGCATCCTTGCACTATAGTGCAACAAAAAGAGGAGAAGATCTAGAACACAGACACACACACCGCTCTCCTCTTTGCCAGAGGGGAGCCTGAGAGCCCATTCTCACTATCCACTATGTGTGTGCAATGGGAGCATGAGAAGAGGACAATAGGTGAACCTTAAATGAACTTCATGAAGGACTCCTAGCCATGGTGGCCAGGGTGCACTTGCTGGGGATCTCAGGTGGGGAGGCTCCGGTTACACTCAGGTCTTGCTTTTGGACCAGAAGAGGCACCTGAGACCAGGATGCTGGACTACATGGGCCTTTGGCCTGATCCAGCAGCAGGGCTCTTTTCAGGTATTGTTGTTTTATTGCTATGGCTGATGGCTGACGCAAATAAAGATTCATTCATCCATTCTTTTCAGATAATTATCTTCTTAACATTTGGCTTGACATTTCTTTCCTATGGTTCCAGGGTTGATCCTGCATTATGTCTTCCTTACCACTGAGTATCTTTGACTACAGTGATACCTTGGTTCTCGTACTTAATCGGTTCTGGGAGTCCTTTTGACTCCCGAAACCATTTGAAAACCAAGGTGCAGATTCTGATTGGCTGCAGGAGCTTCCTGCACGCAAGCAGAAGCCGTGTCAGACGTTTGGCTTCCAAAAAACATTCACAAACCGGAACACTTACTTCCGAGTTTGCGGTGTTTGGGAGCTGATTTGTTTGGGAGCCAAGCCGTTCGAGAACCAAGGTATCACTGTATATACTTTAAAGGATTTCTGTTGAGTGGCAAAGCATCTATAATCCACCTTTTCATGCAGGAACCAAACAGGCAAAATGTCGCCCCAGATGTTTGATGAACTCTCCTGCAAAGGCACCTCACTCAATCATTCATTTCAAGGTTTGCTGCAGGCTTGAAAGTAGCTGCATTCTATCTCCACTCTTAATCAGTTGCTGGAAATCACAATGGGGGCATCTCTCTCCTGCATGTGGGCATCCAATAATCCCTGGTTGGCCCCCTTGAGAACAGGATGCTGGAGTAAATGAGCCTGATCCAGCAGGGTTCTTCTTATGTTCTTACAGTTCTGTGATGACTACCATCTTCTCTCTCTACTCCCCGACAACCCTTTTCTGTTCCTCTAGCAGGGTGAAACTTGCACCAATCTTGCACCTGCTCTGCCTTCATTATCCTGGCTCACCCTGTACCCAACAAGTCAGGCATATAATACTACCCAAAGGGTCTGTGGGTGGTTGGGGGGAGCCTTTGGAAGTGATCTTGCCAGAAGGCACATCTCACATTTGCTCTTGATTTCAAGTTGATCTTTCATTGGGGAACAATGAGATGGACAGAAATGTTGGTAGAGCCTACAATCAATCAATAACCTCAACAAGGAGCGTAACTTTGCAGGCTTAGTCATCACCCTCCCAATAAGACCATTCATTCTAGAGTCTAAAATTACCCAATTGCACTGCCTCCTCTTGCCCCAGGTGAGATTTGTAGGCCCTTACGCAGACAAGGACAAGGGGAAAGCCATTGTGGGCACTTGCGTTGATAAGGCCACCTCTGGAACAAGTGAAAACGATGTGAAGATTTATTTCCCCTTTTACTTCTTCATTTTTGCATTGTTCTCAGGCACAAATGGGTCCTATTGGGCATTTTAGGAAGCATGGGCAGCCAGTGAAGCTATAAACAGCTGATAGCATGGTTTCACCCCCTGAAGTTAAAGGACAAATACACACTCAGCCCTCATCAGACTTGTAAAATTAAGGCAGGTTCTGTGCCAAAATCCCACACCCCAGAGGATTTCTTTTCTCTGCCCCTCGCAAAAGAGGCAGAAAAACTACAGCTTTTTTCACAGGGCTGGGTCGCAGTTCTCAAAAAGGGTGGGCAGGCTTCTGCCCAGCACAACATGATATGCTGCCCCCAGTGATCACCAGTGAGAGTGTCTCTTTCAGGGCTGTCCATAGGGGAGGTTTTTCTCAGGGCCACAACGGATGAAGAAAGTGGCACCCCTTCCTTTGGTGCACTTGCAATGAAAACTGGGGCCCTCTGCACCTAACAATTTCATTTTGGAAAAGGATGCAAATGATTTCCTCTGAATACTAGCCCTGAGAATTGTAAGGGGGGGCAGGGCTGTTGCCCTCTGCTCCTGCTTGCGGACTTCCTGTTGAAGCCTTTGTTTGGCCACCATAAGAACATGATGCTGGACCGTGATGGGCCAGACCTGACAGGACTTTGCTTTTTTATGTTTTATCTCTTAGAGCCTCGTTTTCTTACATCTTTTAACCCTCTGGTAGGCATTTAATTAGTGACTGCAGAATGCTAGTAAATCATATGCAATACATTTTCAAAAACAGACTTTCCAGCTTGCCTCTTGCTAAGTTGAGAACACAGGTGCAGCCTTTCAAGGACACTTGAGGGCAAGACAAAAAGGCACATTCTCCTCAAAGCTTTGGAAATGCATTTTCTTTTCTCTGATGTGCTGACTGCCTGCTGCATATTTGGCTTCAAACTGGGGTCGAACAAGATTTACAGAAATCCCTTTTTATGAGTTGGCATTCTTGCCCTCTTACCTGCAGAGATTTATTGTACTTTACAAAGCAGCTATGCTATGTTAATATATTATTTAAGCACGCTAAAACAGAATTAAATGTAAGTATGAAATGTTAATGGAACTAGCTCTAATCACTCACTGGTTCCTTCCATCCACCCTCACTGCTTGGAGTGCCTGGTGGCATAACACAGCAACTTGTGGAACTCTCTGCCACAAGATGTGGAGTAAGCTACTATCTTAGATGGCTTTAAAAAGAAAAATATTGGCTTGCCAAAAACTAAATGCCATTGCACACAAATATTGTAGAGTTGTCCATTTTGGTGCTAACCCATAGCTGTCCCTTTAAAAGCACACCATGGTCCAGCAATCAGCAGGTGATGATTTAAGCAGAGGGGGGAACCTTTTTCAGCCCAAGATTCCATTCTGGGCAACTGTTTCAAGGGCCACATATCAGTGGGGGGTGGGACCAGAGGCAAAAGTGGGCGGAGCAACTAATGCAAATTCTACCCTTATACGGTAAGCTAATTTCTACACACTCTCACAAGTGCCTCTTTCCCTGCAAACAAGCAAACAAGCGGCAGTATAAGAGTTCAAGGGCACATTCCAGTAAGTCAAAAATACTCTGGGTGTGAAGCAAAGCCAGCGAGGGAGTGTGGCCTTGGCAAACTACAGAGGGCCAGATAGGGAGGACTGGAGGGCTGCCTTCAGCCCCCAGGCCTGATGTTCCCCACCAGATTTAAGCTCTGTGCAAAAGAATTTCACCTGCAGGTTTTAGCAGACAAGACACATCTGTTTAAAGGTAGAGGAGCAAGGCAGTTTGTTTTTTTCCTGGTCATTTGGCAGGACTACAGTCACTGAAATAATTGGGCATCAAATGCAGATGCTAAAGAAATACAAGGCAAAATGTTTGTGTTAATAGTGCTCCAGTTCAGGGTTCCAGCAGGCCTTGCTGGCTGTGCTCTTGTCCATGATACTCCATTCCATTCTGTTCTCCCCAAGCTTCCTTCTCAACCTTCCAGCATTCAGTCAGCATTCAGTGTGGCCAGGAAGCACCCTCTTGTTGAATGGTCTCTTTAAATTTTAAGGTTCATTCTTGTTCCACAAGATGTGTATTTCTTTAAAGGCCAGAGCAAATAACGTGACCTAGTTTTACAGCTGTGAAGCAGTATAGCAGGTGCTGTTAAGTTGTGGCAATTAAGCTGTTGGGTATGGTATATAAAGAGCAGCATGGAGCTCTCTCAGTACCCTGGTGGATGGGTTATTGATATATTGTAATTTAGTGCAAAAGGAGTTTTTGTTACTGTTATTAAAACCTAGCAAAAGTTATTTTGCATTTCCTGAATGTGTGGTCTCCCTAGCACGCCTTCTGCAGTGCAAATAATCTGCAAATAGCCAGCACCTCTACCCCCACTTGGGTGTTCTGGGGTCCTTCCCCCCATTTATTGTTTTATCCCTTAAATATATTTTGTATACTTCTGCAAACTATGGGAGTTCCCTTGAATCTTCTGATACCTCCCTCCTGTTCATTTCTCCAGGCAGATTTTAAAGGATTTTCCATTACAAATTTGCCTGGAAACAGGATGAGGCAGACTTAGTCCCATCCTCTCTGAAAACTGGGATGGATCAGACTTTTATAGGTCCAATCATCCCTATGTGCAACAGTCCCATTGCCAGGTACCTCTGAAAGGTAAAGGAAATGAATGAATGAATGTGGTGGCAACTAAACGCCCCATTATCTCTACGATGGTGATTCCCAGAAATAAAGAAAAGCAGGAAACAATGAGATAGCTAATCACATTCTTATTTAAGGGAGGGCCTATTCTGCTTAATAGTCAAAGGCAAGAGCTCACTGTTGCTTTTCTCTTAAGATTCTCGCGCACATAGAATGTGTGGAATCCAGCCAAGTCTTGCATTAGCAGAGGCTGTGTGTGTGTATATATAAAATATTTAGATTACTGCCTGGGAATAAATGGGAAGCTGCTTTTAAAAGCTGATGCAGAAATTCCCAGGACAGGTATGTAGGCAGAAATAAGCACAAGGTGCTTGCAAAACCCTAGAACGGTTACTAGACCTCTGAGGGTTTGTCCATCTGTACTTGTAAATAGGCAACACAGTGGGACTTATCACAGTTCACACACAAGGCTTACACTAGCCCAGTTCAATTTTGGACTTCTTCCTTCCTTCCTTCCTTCCTTCCTTCCTTCCTTCCTTCCTTCCACAGCTCCTAGCTTCATTTAAAAAATAAATAAAAATGCTACCCTATCTTTCTTCCTTAGCAGAACTCAAAGTAAGGCTTTCTGGGGATTTCCCATCCAGGAACTGACCTGCTTAGCCGGCTCCCTCCAGATGTTTCGGACTACAACTTTCATTAGCCTCCACCCAGAATGGCCTGGTGGAAATTGAAGTCCAAATCACCCAGAAGGTGACAGGCTGGGGATGGGTGCTCTGGTCACTACACCATACTGGCCTTTTTTTATGCTCCCTTGAGTTTGTGATTCGCCATGGGGAGTGGCGAGGCTGCTGCTGAAGAAAAATAAGTCTAAAACTTCATTGAGCTGATGGAGCTAGTTTGCTGACTCTTTAGTTCTTGAACAATGTAACTGCGAGAACAACAAGCAAACAAGACAGTTTGGAATTCATGACAGACCACACTACGGCATGGCTTGCAAAATCTTATGGTGATCGGTGAGATTTAGGCACCCATAACTTTGCACCCAGCATGCTTAATAAAATGCTTTGCACAAGATTTTTGGAAATGGCACCGATGTTGCTCCAGTGCACTTTCTAGCTAGGCTAGAGGATCTGAGCAAGATTTACTGATTTGTTTTATTTGGAGTCCTGGCAGTAAACAAGTCCCTCCATCCCATCTTAGTGAAGACTTGGGAGTTGATAATTAAGTCTATCAATCCTCATAGTAGCTGGAAAAGAGGCTTACTTTCCTGCAAGAGGGGTGGAAAAACAGCTGCCAGCTTGCCTGGATGGGTCATAAATCAATGACTCAGCTCTGGGCAGCTGGAAGCAGACTGGTTTTTTAATCCCTTAATCCTTAATATATGCACATGCTGAAGGGAGTCAGTGACATGAATGATGCCCAGATTTTTGAGAAGTTTGGCTTCTTCGTTTTTGTTTTGTTTTTAATTTTATGAAAGCCCCGTACAGTAAAAGAATCCAGCTTTACACACTGCTGCTCATCAGAGAGATAAAAGCGGTTCTAGATGGATCAAGGATGCTTTGTCTTGGTACAAGGCACCTTTCTGTTTTGAGGCTCAGTATGTTCCTACCCCTGCACCAAGGGTGGAGGTTATCTGCCAGTGGAGGGCAGATCCAAGTGGTGGGCTGGTCCAAGGGCCAATGTGAACCCCTTTATCTCCTCCCATTTCTCCTTACCTAGCAGGCTGCTGGTTGTCCCTTGTGCCACAGAAGCCTGCCAGTCTCAGGCTCCAAAACCCTCTCCCAACAGAGATCCAGCAGGCACCCTCACTTTTGAATTTCAGCTGTCTCAGGAAGGCCTTTTTTATGTAGACAGGCCTCTGCACCTGCTTACATTTTTTATCAGCCAGTCCCTGTAATCATCTTGCGCTATTTTTATGGTGTTTAATACATTGCCATGTTATATTCTGTGTGTTTTGGTGGTACACAATACTTGAATGAATGAATGAATGAATAACACACTTGCCAAAGCTCTGAACATGCAGAATAATTTTGAAATTAGACTAAAGGCTGCATGCAGGCCAGAAGCTGCCGACCCCTGCCCTATTTGGAAAGCCAGAGAGGATCTCTATCCCTAAAGGACCACCTTTCCACGTATCTTTCCCTACCTTTTGCCACCTGCCCATAAACTAGGCTCTCCTCTGAGTGCCACCTCCAAGGGAGGTCCAGCAGGTGGCAACAAGAGAACAAACCTTTTCTTTAATAGCCCCTTATTACTGCATTGCTTTCTCCAGGGAGGCCTGCCTGGTACCTGCTTTGTTATTATTTTGGTACTAGGCACAGATATTTTCTCTCTCCTCCATGCATTCTGGCTGCTCCAATCATCGGATGTTTGTTTTGTTTCGGTGTTCATCTCCAGTTGGGTGCGGTGATTACAATAGGGATGAACCCATGTTAACATTCTGAGTATGTTTTTAACATGCTTTCATCATTTTCATGGTTGTTGTTTTTTTTACTTGTGTTGTAAATCGCTTTGGGACTATTTTTGTAGTGGGAAGCGACATACAAATGTAATAAACCTAGAACAAGTTCCCTTGGGAGCAATGCAAGTTGTGCCACCATTTTCAGTAGGGTTGTACAGGGGAAAAGGTAGCTGCCCCCAGGGAACCAACAGCAGACAAGAGAGGAAGCTCTCAGACCACCTTCTAAGTCAATGCATTTTTGAAATTAAAAAAGTCTCATGCAGAGGTGTGAAGGTGTTTTTGTGTATATTCCTCCTAAAATATTCACATGGAACCAGAACAATGCAGGCACTACTGTAGAACTCTGCAGAACTGGAACCAGTCAGAATTTGGTCTTGTGTCCATTGCTACCTTGTATGCAAAATGTCCCAGTTTCGGGCTCTAGCAATTGCTGGGAGATCTGGGAAAGACTGAAACCCTGCAGAACTGTTGTGAATCATTGAAGATGCTACTGAGGTAGGCAGATCAGTGATCTGCTTCATAGAACATAAGAAGAGACCTGCCAAAGCAGGCTGATGGCCCATCTAGTCCATCAATATGTTCTCACTGTGGCCAGCCAGATGCCCCTCATACAAGCAGGACCTGAACACAGCAGCACTCTCTATATTTGTGATTCCAAGCAACTGGTATTTAGAAGCACACTGCCTCCAACCATGGAAAAAGAACATAGCCATTGTGGTCAGTAGTCACTGATAACCTTAACCACCACCACCCATGAATTTGTCTATATCCCCTTTAAAGCCACGCAGGTATATGACCATCACTGAATCTTGTGGCAGCAAATTCCAAAGGTTAACTGTGTGTTGTGTGAATAAGTGCTTCTTTGCATCTGTCCAGAAGCTTCCAAGCTTCAGCTTCACTGATAGTCCCGGTGGGTTCTCGTATCCTTTAAGAATTGGAGGGCATGGCTTGCTTAATTGTCAAATGGGATGCAGGTCCCTGGAATCCTCCGAGATTTATTGCAGTCCGTTGTGAAAGAGTTCCCCGTCGGCCCCTACAAACTGTTTGCTGCAGTGCTGATAAAGAACAAGGGACGGAAAGTACAGCCAAAAGTCCAAGTAAGAGCTTGGGCAGGAGGCGAGCCAGCAGCTCCCCAAGCTCATAAACTGACAGATGCGCCACACAGTAAAGTCAATGCAACTGGGTTTATGAGATGGGCAAAGTCCATGGCCACTGAGATCATAATGCCTGCCTTTTCCTCCCTGCCTTCACAACAGCTTGTTTTGCATCTCTCTCTCAGAGATGTGTTTTTACCAGGGATGGGCGACATTTTGGTTTCTCTCTGTTTCTCATTTCCCCCAATCTCAAATTCACGTATCCACACATATTTGCAGAACAATTTTCCTTAATATAATGTACCGTATTTTTCGCTCTATAAGACGCACCAGTCCACAAGACGCACCTAGTTTTTGGAGGAGGAAAACAAGGGGAAAAATTCTGAATCTCAGAAGCCAGAACAGCAAGAGGGATCACTGCGCAGTGAAAGCAGCAATCCCTCTTACTCTTCTGGCTTCTGTGATAGCTGCACAGCCTGCATTCGCTCCATAAGACGCACACACATTTCCCCTTACTTTTTAGGAGAGAAAAAGTGAGTCTTATAGAGCAAAAAATACGGTACTTTCGTATGCTGCTTTTCACTAACATATGCATTTTTATTCATACTGAGAGAAGACTGAGGTTGATGGGGAATGTCCCTATTCATCTGAATGGACTAGGACCCTCTGCCTAGCTCCTTGTCCCTCCCGTATCAACAGCAAAAGCAGAAGGCAGAATAAGAACGATGACACACATTTTCTCAATTTGCCACAATCTATACAGGCCAGAGAAGCCCACTTTGCTTGGGGCCTGGCTTACAGCAAATGGAACACCAGTCTCATTTGCCCGGAAGAAAGGAACAACTGAAATTTTACTAACTTTGTAAATGTAGGTGGGAAACAGGCAGGGGGTCACTGCAAGCAGATGGGAGGAGAGTTCAGCAAATAGCTCTGCCCCTTTGATTTGCAAACAGCAGAGCTCAGGTTGAATAAAGAGATTCCAAACTCTTAGAATATTTTTCCAAAAATGTTCAGGAAGCCTCTGGAGGTTTTTAATGCTAGAACTCTTAGTCTATTCTCACACTGCTCCAGGAAAAAAAAATTCCCTTCTAAAAAGATGGTCACCACTCAGAATTTTGTTCAGTCTGCACTTTAAAGCAAGCTGCCCTAATTCACACATTCTGGACTGTTTATTTATTTAATCAATTTACTATTTTTAAAAAATCTCAACACCATTTGCATTAAAAAAAGTCAAAACTCTAAATAATACATTAAAACATAATACACTGATGCAAATAACTATGAATAATATCAACTAAAAATATCCCATATAGCAGAAAGTCAAAATGCTCAAGAAACTTTTAAAAAAGGCAACTACTAAGCAGTTCAACTGGGCAATTAGAGCTGGGAAAGGCCTAAATGAAAGGATCTATGTGTGGAATTTTGGCAACATAAACCTGAATGGGGAGGGAGTGTAGCTCAGTGATAAAGGATCTTGCATACAGAAGGGCCCAGGTTCAATCCTTGACATCTCTGGGTAGGGCTGGAAGTGATCATTGTCTGAGTTCCTGCCTGTCAATGTAGACAATACTGAGCTAGATGGGCCAATGGTCCAATGTAATGGTTCCCTATGTTCCTAAAACATCCATCTCCTGGGCAGGGCTGTGTTTCGTTCCATAGCAACAACAAAGGGACCCCTGACCGTTAAGTCCAGTCGTGGACAACTCTGGGGTTGCGGCGCTCATCTCACTTTAATGGCCGAGGGAGCCGATGTTTGTCTGCAGACAGCTTCCAGGTCATGTGGCCAGCATGACTAAGCCGCTTCTAGCAAACCAGAGCAGTGCACGGAAACGCCATTTACCTTCCCGCCAGAGTGGTACCAATTTATCTACTTACACTTTGTGCTTTTGAACTGCTAGGTTGACAGGAGCAGGGACCAAGCAACGGGAGCTCAACCCATCGCATGGATTCGAACTGCTGACCTTCTGATCGGCAAGCCCTAGGCTCTGTGGTTTGACCACAGCACCACCCTATTACAAGGAATTAAATATTACAAGCACAATACTCTGTGCTAATTAACTAAGATATAGAAAGGAAAATTAAAGCGATGAAACAAAAAAGATTTGAATTTGCAAAATAAACCAGGGAAGTTATTGGCCTGGCAACTGAAGAAGAAAAAGAAAAAAAAGGATAATCCATAGTCCGCTAAAAATGGAACCTCCATAATCAATCAAAAAGAGATAAGAAACAAATTTGTTAATTTCTACATAGATTTTTGTAAGAAGGAGCAAGAAAATGCAGAATTGATATCGGAGTATTTGGAAGAATGTAAATTGGACAAATATCAGAAGAAAATGCAAAGATATTAAATACTCCAATATCAATGATGGAAATGCAAAGGGCACTAAGTCAAATTAAGACAGGAAAATCCCCAGGGCCAGATGGTCAGTCAGCAGGATATTATAAGAAATTTAAAGAATTTATGAACAGTAAATATCATTTTTATGGCGTGTTATACGTTAAAGGAAAATATGATGAAAATGACCCACAGATGGTATTTAACACCTACCAAACTAGTGAAAATGTTTTTAAAAAGAAAAAGGTAAATGCTGAAAATGCAATGAAGTTAGGGGGACCCTTTTTCCACATGTGGTGGTCCTGTAAAGTAATCAGGGAATTCTGAGAATTAATTTACAATGAATTTAAAAAGATATTTTTTTAAAAAAAACCTTCCCAAAAAAGTCCAAGACATTCCTTTTGGGAATGGTAACAACAGAAGTCCCTAAAAAACAAAAAACAAAAATTTATTATATGCCACCACTGAGGCTAGAATCTTATTGGCACAAAGGTGGAGAACGAATACGGTACCCACCAAGGAAGAGTGGCAGTTTAAAATGCTTGAATATGCTGAATTGGCAGGCATAACGAATAGGGTAAGAGAAGAGGAAGATAAAGAATACAAGGAGGATTGGGAAATGTTTATTGGATATTTTAAGAACCAGTATATACAAGGAAGTAACCTAGCAGGTCTTGAGTTAATCCAGCAGAATAGGAGTTAATAGAATTTAACAAAGGAAGAAATTCAAAGATTAAAAATTTGGAATACGTGATTTAATAGATAAACAAAGAAACCAGAAAAAGGGTGGAAGGGGTGAGTCACCAGGTATTTAGTTATAAGTCGAGATTTGTATGAAACTTGTACAACTGGGGGTGGAGGGAAGGGGTGGGTGGGATGTGTGTGTGTTTTGTCTCTGTATTAAAAATCCAAATAAAAAATAAAAAAGGTCACAATGGAAGTTTCCACTTCATGAGATGCATGGCGTGTCATCCTCAGTTAGCAAGCATCTATCTGTCTGTGTGGTTGCTGGGGATGTAAGGGAGTGAGTTTAGTGGCCAATGAAATGCAAAAAGAGCAGATAATAAAAGCAAAATGATTATGGTTGCCAATTAGCAAGGCAATTCTGGCAAGCATCTTGGCAAGGGTTACATAAGGAACACTCGGCTCTCCATGTGGGAGCCACCACAACCCACCTCCCCAGGGCTGTTCACTGAGCTAAGGACTAGTAAAGTTCTTTGCACACAAAATGGCAAAGAAATGATATAAAAGAGCTAGAGAAGAGGAGATCCAAAATCATGGCCCATAAGGATGTTCTCATTTGCAGGCCATATCAAAATGGATAAGGGCCACTCCCAGAACTTGGGACAGGTCCCATTCATTTTGATGCTGTGTTAGATGGCCCAATGGTCTGACTCAGTATAAGGCAGCTTCCCATGTTCCAACAAAGTAGGGGGTTCTTTATTGCACACCACAAATTTTGCATTTGCATAGTGGCCCAGACATGCAAAGTACACACACACATATGTACTTGTCCTGCTTGAAGACCAGAAGGTCCATGAATCAGTTTATATAGAAAGAGACCTACCTTGAGAAACAGGGCCCCCTTAGAAGACAAGGCGTCTGTTCCTTTTCCATTGGGATAACAGTGATAAGCAGCATCCATAACTGGATAGCGGCTGGCAAAAAGCAGGCCACTGTTCACAAACTTAAAGGTACAGCAGCCGTGGCAGCTGTAGACCCCAACATCGTACAGAATGTATTCAAAGTAATGGTGGAGCTCCTCTTTCAATTTCTCAGCTGCCCTTTTGTCAAACACTTCCTGCAAGCACAGGAAGTCCAAATTGGCAGGGAAGAAAGCGGAGATCTCGTGGTCAAAGAGCTCATCTGTGTTTCTCTTTTTTCTCAAGGAGGTCTTCTTCATCAGTGAGGCCTTGTAAAGGAGCTTGCTGTTGACAGTGCTCTGGTCCACAGGGCCGTCTGCGGCACGCACCTTCACTAGGGACTCTCGCGAGGCAGTGTAGCTATCTAGGCTCCCAGAATCCCCCTCTTTCTGCTTATGGTTCGGTGTCTGGCCTTTCAGGCTCTCGGCTTCAGATTCTGGTGATCGGTCTGCTGGCCCCTTGCTGTTATTGACTTGGCCACCAGTGCCATCCGCTTCCAGGTCTGAAATGTGCCCATTGTCCTCTCCACCTATGCGCACAATGCACGTGTTGCCATCTTCGCCCTCATTGGTATCTCCTCCAGCTTTGCCATCTCTACCATCTTCGCTGTTGTTCAAGCCGGAGTTGTCCCCTTTGTACTCCATCGAGGTTGTCCTCTTGATGCCCACATTGACTGCGCGGTTATTACTATCTCCACCCTGAGGAGAGACCAGGCTGCTGAAGCTTGCTGCGCTGATGGACGTGTTTGTGGGGGAATCGATGTAGATTTTGATCTGTGGCCTGCTAGCCCCATTCCGTATCCGTCGCCCGACCTCCTTAGCACGGGCCTGTGTGTTGAAAACATTGTTCAATCTTGCCAAGGAGTCTGGGAGCAGGCAGACATTGGCGCTGCCAAAGCAGAAGCTTTTCCCATTGCTGGCGGCCTTCCACTCCGTGAGCAACGTGCTTCCATGGATCTGGCTCTTGTCTTGCAGCCTAGAGTAGACGTACGGTCGCCTAGCAGACTGGAGAGGGGACCAGAGCAGGAAGCCAATCAGGGCAAAAGGCAGAGAGACCACCAGCAGCGCCAGGTAAATTGGAGTGGTGATGATGATGCACAGAGCGTGGAAGTAGCATGGATCATCTCCCCTTTGGCGCTTCTCATAGGTGGTAGGCACAAAGGAGGCTATAAGCCTGTCTCCAAGCCAATAACATGGGAAGATCAAGCCCCAGGAGAAAGAGTGCAGTGCTGACAGAAAGCCGTTTGGAAATGGGGAAGTGTATAAAACCATTGCAACTCAGTTAGGACACCCCTTCAGGACCTTCTACATGGTGTCATCACTGCCCGCCAGCCATCAGAATGTGCGTTTGCAGACAAAAAAAATAAAAACAAAATGTCCTAGCAAAGTTGTGTCTTCTAGGCTGCAAGAAGCAGTTATCACCTCAGGAACACCATTTCATTTCGCGACAGTGAGAAGGAAGCGAAGCAACCATTCCTTTGGAGGTTTGGTCTCTGTAGACTTCAGAGTGTATCATTGCTCATCACAAGAAGCCATGGCAGAAGTTCACCTGCGAAGACAAAAAGAACAAGAATGCTCAAGTCCAGAGGTGTCCACTGAAGGGAAGAGCTATCAGAATTATAAAGCTGTAATATTCCCCACAAACAGGCAACCAAGGGTTCCAGGGTGATACCTCCACACACCAGTCTGGCCACCGGCATCTCCTATGGCACCTGCAAAAGGTCTCAGTAAGTATCTCTTCAAAAATCCACAATGCATGAGTAACTCTTTGCTCTTCCTGCCAAGTACCTGTTTACACTGGTTCAGCCTCTCCTCCATTGCACATGCACCCTCAGGCATCCCCACACTTCACTGGACACCCACCCTCCCACCAGTTTTGGACAGAGGAGCAATGCAAAGCACTTTTCTCAGAGAGTGAGTGCGATGGTGGTTGATAGAGGTGCCTTTTCCCCAAGGATTGGGTGGGGAGGCATGCTCACAACTTTTTGTAGCCCTGTCTCTTTTTCTGCATTTTTAGAAATGTATCTTGCCACACACCCTATGGCAGCCATATTCTGACTGGTGCCCAGGGCACTTTCTCAAACAGCCTCCTGGCCCAAAAAGGTTGGCGATACCTGCACCAAACCATACAAACTGGGGGCTGCAGCCATAAAGGTCCTGTGCGGTCCTGACCTCCTCAATAATATTTCATACCCCTCCCTGAATATTCAGCTTTCACAAAAAAATGTAAGCTTTTACAGAGGTATAAAGGAAAACATGTAGGCAGTATTCTACCCAAGTCCATGCAAAGTAGCACACCTCATTCTGCCTTCTTGTGTTTTGGCCAGTGAGTGCAAAGGTAACCCATGCTGTTATCCTCATGATTAAGAAGAGAAGACATTGCAAAAGCAACAGAGCCCCTCCTGCCCTTCTCTCCACAATAGGGAAGCATACTCAGTAACCTGCTCTTCCAGAAGTCAGTTTGGAAAAGGAGGCAGAGGGGTTGTTCCACAGGAGTTTGGAAGAGGCCTGGATCTTTGCTTTAAGCTTGTTGTCAAGAGTTACAGATTTGTCTGGGTTCCTGATCTACCACCAGATATAGTTGTGGGATGAAGCAGAGAATTCCTACAAGGAACTGTGAGATGTATCCTGATCAGAGCATGTCCTTGGAACTTTGAAATCTCTGAAACTGTTACATCTTTACATGGTTTCTCTCTCTTTTCCTTCTGTCCAGTGCAGCTTCTTAGGTGGGATGGAAATGTGAAAACAAATAAATCAGCAAGTCCCAGGTCCAGCACAGGGTTGGGCATCATCAGGCACTTGCTGAGGCCCATGGCCCTAAGCAGGTGCCCCCTGCCAACCTCCACAGCCCCCTGGGGCCAAGTCTGCTCTTCCTTGCTATTGCTGAGTCTCGTACTGTCACCTTGGGGTATGCAAGCACTGGCAAGCGGGAGGAGATGACACTGCACCCCACTATGAGGTTTTTCTCCTTCCTATTTATCCTCACAGCAACACTTTGAGGTAGGTTTAGGCTGAGATACTCAAGGTGAAAAACTGGTCACCCAGTGAGCTTCACATGGGCTTAGTGAGGACTTGATCCCAGGTTTCCCAGATTCTACTCTGGCCACAGAGTTCTTATTGTGCATAACCGTTGCCTCAAATTTTTAAAAGTGTGGTGGTCAGACTGCATTGGCAGCTTGGAGGGGATTTTATAATCTCTTTCTCTCACCATCTCCGCTTGAGCCACTACTGCTTCTTATCTCAGGTCTGCCTACCTCTTAGCAAAGGCAACTTGCCAGTTATCTGCAGGTTCTTCCTAGACAGCATTATGTGTGTCTTGCATTTTATCACTTAAGCTAATCAGGCTTGAAACAGCAGAGAAATCTAGGGACTGGACAAGAAAAGGATGGAAAGAGGCATAATTCCAGGAAGCAGCATATACTGAGGTCCTGAGACATTGTGAAGTGCTGGTGAAAATGCCCCCCCCCCCCAAGGAACTGTAAAATGTACTATTGTGAGAATTCTCTTTGTGCAGAACAAGGTAAATCAAGCAGTACTTGAGGGTCTTCCGGCCACTGACATGGGTGCAAGTTGCATTGCGGAGCACACAACACATTCCCCAAATGGGGGCTGTGTGCCAGTGGAGGGTGGGGCCAGAGAGAAAAGTGGGTGGAGGTACCTTTGTACAGAAACACAAAAGCCAGATGTTGATTTCTACACACAGACTGCAGCATCCTCCATCCAGGCAAGAGCAAGAGGAACGATCACAGTTCATGCAAAAGTAGGAGGCTGCAAAGCAAGGCCCGGGGGCAGGGGATGTGGCCTGGGGAGAATCACAAAGGATGGATAGAGAGGCATTGAGGGCCAAATCTGGCCCCTGGAAGCCTCAGGTGTCAGGGTGAGGAACCTGTGGCCCTCTAGATGTTTTTGGAGTACAATCCCCGTCACCCTTGGCCATTGGCTATCCTGTCTGTGGCTGATGTAAGTCCTATGTACACTTAACGGGGAGGAGATCCCACTGAACTGAATGGGACTTACTTCTGAGTAAGACATGTCTAGAATTGCACTGCAAACATTTAGTTGTTTGGGGGAGGGAAATGTCTGAGGCTGCAACCCTATGAAGACACTTACCTAGAAGTAAGTCTCACGAAATTCAGGAATGCTTCTTTCTGAGCAGAAATGCATAGGATTATGTTTTTTTATATGGTGTGTGGGTTGTTTAATTGCGTAACAAATTGGCCAAATCTGCTGTGACGTGGTTTATACATTTGTATATTTCTAAATTTGCTACAGCCAATGGCTAAGGAATGTAATGCCACTAATTGAGCTTCTGCCTGTGGTTCATCGCTCAGAAGCTAAGCTATTATGTGCCTGGCTTTGGAAATTAATGTGTTTGCAAACAGCTTTAAATGCTATTGAATGAGAATGTGTGTTAAGACAACTTTCTCTAAGAAGTTAAACCAAAACTCAGTGGAGCAAAACAGCTGTTTGCTGTGGAGGATGAAAAAGCCAATCTGGCAAGCAACGCAAAACACTCCCCACAAGTAGAAAATGAACATAGCGGGATGATTTATATTTTATATATAAATATAAAAAGATTTATATTTTATTTATATTTTACAAGGGGGGCTGTTCTGATGTGGCACAGCACAGACCAGCACATCTTGCTCCACAAACCACATGTTGTGACCAGGGCCAGATTTAGGTTTGATGAGGCCCTAAGCTACTGAAGGTAATGGGGCCCTTTATATGTCCAGCTGTCCTTTGCCAACAACAAATTGTCGCTGTTTTTTGTGTGTTGAATATATGTTATATGGTAATATATGGACCTAATAGGTATCTGAAGCCCTTTGCACATAACAAAATATGTATTTTATCAAAGTGATTTGTTTTTTATCTTATATTTTGGAAATGTACACCCAGGTTTTTTTCATTTAATTTTTTTTGGGCCCCCCAAGAGAGTGGGGCCCTAAGCTATAGCTTGTTTAGCTTATACGTAAACCCGGCACTGGTTGTGACGGATGGAGTGTTCCACTTGGACTAAGTTTCAATCCCTACCCAACCTCAAAGCTTATTGATTAATCTTAGCTACACTCAGCTGAACCCTACCTCACTGGGTTGTTGTGCAGCCGTGTACCTTAGGGAAGAGCAGAAGGTAGGTTGGGATCTTCCTACAGTCTATCAGCATCAGTTTATTTCTGATCCCCAGCAGTTTAATGATGGCAACAAAAATGTGCCCCCTCCCCTTTTAAATTTGGCTGTGGAAATGAAGACCCCCTTGGAATAACCAGGAGGGGACACTGGCGTTAAAGGACTGTGGAACAAACTCCCAAGGCTAAGAATGTGCCTCTGTTTTTAATTCTAACTGTGGGCACCAGTAAATACCAGATATAATCTAAACTCTGTGCAAGTAAATCAGGATGAATCTACTAGGGGTTGTATTCAACCAAGACTTTACTTGGAACTTAATGACTACAACTAATTTAGGTCCATTTATTTTGTTGGGTCTACTCCAACTAGAAGTTAGTTGACTCTAACCCTGCAATAGTTTGGAAAGTTGTTTGTTTGTCCGTTCACTCTGCATCTGAAGATAGCCTAGCCAAATGCAGCATGATGGTTCCTGAGATCAAGGAGCAGGTTTTCATTTAGGTTTGGTTACAGTTTGGAGCCATTTTGAACCAAGGTGCCAGACTGAATCTTTCAAACCTGCACAGATTTTAACTAATGATTTCAAAATTGTGTTGTTTTTGGTTTCTTAGAATGCCTAAGTAATGCTGGGCACGAGACTGCTTGGCAGGGGGTTGGACTCGATGGCCCTTGTGGTCTCTTCCAACTCTATGATTCTATGATTCTATGACTGCAAATGCTCAATGAATAAGAACCAGGCAGAGGGCCTTCTCAGTAATGGCGCCTGCCTTGTGGAAAGCCCTCCCATCAGATGTCAAGGAAATAAACAACCATCTGACTTTTAGAAGACATCTGAAGGCAACCCTGTTTAGGGAAGTTTTTTTATGTTTTATCGTGTTTTTAATATTCAGAGTGGCTGGGGAAACCCAGCTGGATGGGCAGGGTATAAATAATAAATTATTATTATATTCTTATTATAGGTCACCTGGAAGGGTCCTGCATGGGATTTACACCTGGCTCTGCTTGGTAGACTGTGAAGACCTATGGGTGCTTTAAAAAAACAAAAACCAATTAAAATATAGATTCATCTTAAGAAATAATGCCAGAGGGTCTGGGAATGGTAGATTTGAATTTTAGAGATGGCAGAGGGATGCAGTAATGAAATT